AATTGATGAGTTTAAACACAAATATAAAGGTATGTGTCAATCAAGATATGGGCAAGAACAGGCTTAATGATTAATCAGGTGTAACATTGGGAGTGTGGTGTTTTTAGTATATCACTAGCGTGGTGTAGAACAAAATTATCCATGTAGTAATACTGCTTGCAAACCAATGATGATAAGATGATGTTAGGGGGTAGGACTAGATATGTCTAACTTCTTCCTACTCCATTCAAGCAGGTACTAGGTATAAGCAAATTGAAAATATATTTGCCCACACGATCAAATGTTAGAATGGCTTTATTCTCTGGTGTGGCAGAATAACAATGTGGATAAGTAGCCATTTGTCACAGTGTGAATGTTATAGCCATAAATAACTTGGACATAATCTTCACAGGGGACAGGTTCCACCCAAAATATTAAAAATTACCACTTGTTCTCCCACCTCCCCCCAGTATTTGTCATGACCAGTCATGAAATGTCTCCTAAATCTATAAGAAAATACATGTTCTCCACTCTAGTATTAAATTGACTCCAAAACATAGCTTGTTCACTGAGCTCTTTCTGCTCATGCTGGTTTACATGTCAGCCAGTAGGGGTGTAAAAAAAAAATTAATACACTTGAGTATCCTTGGCCATTACCGACCTGATGGAGGACATTACAAGTGCCATGGATGGAAAGAAATACACGATAGGAATATTTATTGACCTAAAAAAGGCATTTGACACAATCAACCATGAATTATTAATGTGCAAGCTAGAAAAATACGAGATCAGAGGAGTGGCTTTGAATTGGATTAATAGTTATTTGACACAGAGGCGCCAATTTGTACTATACTGGACATTAATGATATGTGCAAGGTTTCGGATTTAGTGAAAGTGGTCTTATTTGCCGATGACACTACGATATGGGCATCAGGGGATAACTCACAGCAAATATTGGGACAAGTTTCACAGGAACTGGAGAAGATAAAGATATGGTGTGATAGTAATATGCTATCCATGAATATGGATAAAACTAAATTTATGGTATTTGGGAATCGCAGATTAGATAATGAACTTCAATTGAAAATTGGGGGAGCTAATATAGAACGAGTATATGAAATTAAATTTCTAGGTGTCATAGTTGATGACAAATTCACCTGGAAATCTCATATCAGATATATTCAGCATAAAATAGCAAAAAACATATCGATATTGACAAGGGTTAGATATATTTTGGACATAAATGCACTACGTATTTTGTATTCTTCATTGATTTTACCATACTTGGAGTATGGCGTTGAAAACTGGGGAAATACATACAAAAGCTCACTTCAACCATTGTACATATTACAAAAAAAGAGCGATAAGAATTGTGCATAGGCTGGGATACAGGGATCACACCAATGGAGCTTTCATACAGTCTAAAATGTTAAAATTTTTTGATTTAGTGGGATATAAGACTGCAGTGTTTATGTATAAAGCCAGGAACAATTTATTACCTGGTGGAATTCAAAAACTATTTTCAAGCATGTACTAGGTATAAGTAAATTGAAAATATTTTTGTGGACATGTCTGGAATTATGTGTGATTACATACTGACTGTTGTTACATGTTTGAAAGAATAAATAAATCAAATCAAATCAAATCACAATATTTTGCTTTGCGATTCTGTATTGATTCTAAAAAAAAAAAACAGTATCGATTTTTAATTAATAGTTCACATTCCAAGTTGTGCTATGTTGTTGGATATTACGGTGACTGTGACAAATGCAAACGCAAACCCCTGTATCACAAGACAGTATATCAAATCATAACCCCTGTATCGTGATGCGTATCGTATTGCCAGATTCTTGCCAATACACAGTCAACCAGCCACAGTGAACATATCAGCTGTGCACAGGGCTCACAATTAGTCAGCATGTGCCAAAGTTTGGCCATCCTGTGTCCTGCTTGTGCCATGTGGACCTACAGCTGATCACTGACAGGTACACAGGTAACAGCATCACATAAGTTAAATGTTTCTGCTGCTGATCATCTTCCCGTCCAATGTATTTTTTCTGCCAAAATTTCAGGTCTTCCATCACACAACTCTCACAGGTCTTTGTTAGGAGAGAGCAAAACTGAAAAATGACAGCAGAGCAAAATTGAAGGTGAAGTCAAACTCAATCTGCTTGAGAGATGAAGCTGCATTTTACGGCTTCATCATTCTCCCCAATTGCTTCTGTGACTGAACAAGTAGGCTATAAACTACTAATCTGTACGTTAAGATAGTGCAGTGATACCCAGCCACTGAACTCTTGTTCTGTCCTTTGTGTTTTAATGAAGCCGTATTTACAGAATTGTTTTGCAAAGTCCACATAACTGCGTGATTATGACAGCTGCTGTGTGATAGTTCAGATTTCAAATGAACGTTCACAAAAAAGTTCTCCCCTTCATTCTTTACTTTACTACTATTTACATACTTTACTATCTATTATTTCTTAATGTAACTTAAGCATGTTAACCATGTTTAATATATTTTTGACTAGAAATGTGAAACCCAGTGTAACAGGTAATAATTATTTATCTGGCGCAGTGCCTGTATAATAAGGATTATGGTCAGACAATTCTACTGTATAAACTGTGGCCTAAGCAGTGGCATGTTCTGAATACAGTGCCCCAGGCAGTCACACTCTGGTTTGTGTGTTTTTGAGAACAAAACATAATCTAATGGTGACACCATGCAAATCAAGGAACAGCTCTTTAATGGGAGTTTTTACTGTGGATTCTAGACCCGCCTTATGAAGTAACAGGAGAAGGGGGGCTCATGGAAGGCTCACAGGAACTGCATGTCAGGTGAAAGCCATTCAGCTGGGAATAGCAGAGCTGAGTGCTTGCTTCTGTAAGTGAGAAAATGTTTCTTGTCATGTGGATGATTGTGTCTTTGTTGGCCAGCAGGGGTCACTGCCCGCCATCTGTCAGTAATCCTGACACACAGATGCCTCTGCTCTGTTGCTTTAATCATAGTCTCATCATTCACTTATTAAAGCTGAGGCTCAGTGGCAGCACTAATTCCCTCCCATTACTATTACTTATGGAAATCAAATTGGAATCCAATTCATAAACAGCTGCTCTACAAATAAACATCGATCTCTAAGTGGCTTTGGACAAATGCTACAATATGTTAACACAAGAGGCCTCTGCTGATGGCTACAGAGGCTTTCAGATGTTTTTAATTCAGGCCAGTACTAAACCACAACAACTGCAGTTTAACTAACCACATTTCTATTTACACTAATGTAATTTTAAAAACCTATAAAGATACTGACTCTGTTCATCCAGGAGTGTTTGACTGAAATGTTTCTGAATAGAGCTACTATTTGTTGCCCTTTTTCGGTTTTCAGGACCTTGTTTCACATGTGACGGAAAACTGTGTCATACAAACTACACAGGTTCAGCACAAGTTGTTTATACAGTTATCTCATTTGAATATTTCTCAGTTTCTATAAATCAGACCCATCTGCTTCTATGGTCAACTGACAAAGTGAATGCATGCGCACACACATTTAAGGTCAGAGGTCATTATATATGCTGAGTGCTGTGTTATTGTTCCTGCTGCATGTGAGAGTAATGTGAACAGCACTCATTATTCAGCTCATTAGCATAATCTCCAACTCTCCTTCAGAGTTAAAGCCATTCAATCCCATGATCCTCCAGGACACAGCAGAGAGAGAGACGGAGGAAAAAAGGCATGCTGGTGAGCTCCTGTTGCCATGGTGAAAGGTCAGCTGCAAGGTCACTAGTGGGACCAATCCACTTTTCCCATGTTGTCTGTGTGTGTGTGTGTGTGTGTGTGTGGAGAGGAGGGGGGCCTTCCTGGTCCTTCCCATCATAAAAATGGTTTACTTTTGATAAACTTGTCTACTGTGTCTGTGGAATGCCCTACAAACATATGCACTCAGAAAACCTGATTAACCAGAGAAATCAGGTTACATGGGGAATCAGGGGAACTGTTTGCATGTGGTAACCTGGTAACTGTAAATCTATGCACTTGTGCAGAAGATCAGTAGTCAGACTTCGCCTCTACTGTACAGTTTAACTGTATAGTCACAGAAAATTATTGTTTCTGACTTTGCTTCTTTTTGTGGCTATGTTGACTGAGCCCAGTGAGGCAAAAAGGCAGACATTACACAACTGCTTCTCACAGTGTGAACTATCTGAATTGAACAAATGCTGCAATGTTCATTTGTGGAAACCAGCTTATTTAGATTTGCACAGGACACCCTGTGGTAGTTTCATTTTAGTCAGACTTTGGGAGGATGTAGTTTAAATATGAGCAGGCATCGCTCTATGTAATGAACTTCTTTCCTCCAGCCACTCCACTCCGCTGCTTTCACTGTCTGCACCTATTTGACATATGGGGTTAGGTGTATACATGACAAAAAAAGTTTTCCTTCCCTACTGTAGGACCTCTAGCAAAAACCTACCTGGGGAAATAAAGTTTCTCTAACCCACTGCCTATTATGTTCTATTGTAAAAGCTAAGAAAAAAGTGAAACACATTTGCAGAGGTACTGTTACACCCACACAGAGTTTTTGTCTACTGTAATGCAAAACCTGGGAACACCGTTCACTTCACTGGACTATGATTACTTTTCAGTATTTAAAAATATTTCACTATGGATGAAACTGATATATACAGATCACCCAGCCAACAGTTTTCTACAGTAAAGAGAAAAACAACAGTAGCCTGCAAACCTCAGTCCACAAGTTATCTGCATCAGCCTTTCAAATTGTTAACAGTCAGACATGTGGCCGCAGCCTGTGTTTCAGAGTTTTTCAGTGCACTTTTGCCAGGAATACATGAAGACAGTCAGAACACCTAACACAACACTGTCCAGAACTCCTAATCTGCTACCAGGAATGTCCAGAGAGGATTGGCGGGGCTTTTCCAGGCCACTATCTCTAAGAGTCCGTGTGTGTGTGCATGTGTGTGTGTGTGTGTGTGTGTGTGTGTGTGTGCGTGCGCAGAGTGGTCCTCACCTCATCCTCCTCTGGTGCTGGTTCAGGAAGTGGTCCTACAGTAGGGAAGGAAAACTAAAAAGTCTTACTCACCCACATTCACATTCATTATACAGTCACAGTATATTTCTCCTCATTTTGTAGTTGAGCTATTAACATAGTAATAGTAAATATGTACATATGTTGATCGTGGTAAGTTCCAGATACTGAAGTAACAACTTTTACAAAGCAGAATGTAGATGGAGGTGTGTTTGTGAAGTGTACCAGTCATGTGTTCCTCAGTGGGCTGGACGTCGCATCTCTTGAAGAATTCATCAGTCTCAGCATCGACCACCAGCAGTCTGGTCTCATCTCCTCCAGCCTTGATGGCTGCAACCACCTCAGAGTGCTGCATACCCGCCACTGACATGCCATTAACCTGACAGAGAAAAGAGACAAGGGGTGGGGAGAGTGCTGAAGCTTTGTCACGTGAAGACATTTAAATAAGGTTTTCCTTCAGTTTTGACCAGAAACTAAACAACAAATACAACTGTCTTTCAATTGAAATGGTTTTTGTGTATAGTTAAAATATTAAATATATTAAAAAATCTATTATTTTATATAAATAAGAAGAATAACAATAAAATAAACGGAGGTGTTCAGTGTAATCTCAAATGTTGCCCACTACAAAAATACCTTTGAAACTTTAGTGCAAATGTTAGACGTGAATACAAAAACAATTCAAATATGATCAGTATTATAAAAATGAGGGCTAAGTTTTCCAAGATTTATTTATTAATTTATTATTAACAGGAGAGAAAAACAGATGCAACAGCCATTTCCTCATGGCTAACGGCCAACATGGTTAGACATAATAACCATAATGGTTCTCAGTCACTGTACCATTCCAGCATAGATTCAACACTGTTAAGCAGTAGATGCAATCACATTAGCCACTGTGGTGTCCCCCAAGGTTCTATACTTGGTCCACTCCTCTTCTCATTTACAATATATAATATTCTTCCTTTCAGGTTTCATTATCCAAAAACACAGTCTCTTTTCATTGCTATGCTGAAAACACCCAGATCCAGGTCCACTTAGAACCTAATAAGAAGCTTACTGACCTCAGTAACAATCTTCAGCATTAGATGGCTGCAAACTTTCTCTAGCTAAATGAGATCAAATCATGCGATTTGTACTTCTGCTCTCAGAAACATGACTAAATAACATGGCCTGACTCAGCTTACCAGATTGACGGGTTACTCCTCTACCAAGCCAAACTGTAACCATCTGTTGGGGAAAACTCAAGGAGGCAGTTTGTGTGTTCATATCAACAAATGCTGGTACAAGAACTGTTCTCTGATAAGTCATTGCTTCGAAGAAGTAGAATACATGACAGTAAAGGGCCGATCACCAAATCTACCCCGGGAGGTTACAGTTGTGATCATTGTGGCTGTTTACATCCCTCCGAGTGCCAACCCTGGCTTAGCCCTTAATAAGCTACATGAACACCTATGTACGCTCCAGGATAGACACCCAGAGGCGTTTTTCATGGTAGCTGGAGATTTTAACCATGTTAAACTGACAGACGTTCTGCCCTGGTTTTACCAGCATGTCTCCATAGTGACCAGGGGAAACAATACGCTGAATCACATGTACACCAAAAGAAAAGAGGTATACAAAGCACTGCCCCGACCCCATCTGAGCTTCTCGGATCATATCTCTATTCTAATGGTTCCTGTCCACCGTGCTGCCCTCAAAAACAACAAACCCACACAAAAGACCATCACTGTATGGTCCAGTGAAGCTGTCCCCATGCTCCAGGACTGTATTGAGCACACCAACTGGGACATCTTCAGAGAGGCAGCAGTTGGCGAGGGCAGGGTAGACCCGGAGGAGTATGTGACAGCTGTTTGTATATCAGCAAATGTATTAGTGATGTAACCACCATCAGGAAAATCACTGCCCACCCCAACCAGAAACCCTGGCTTAACAGAGAGGTGTGGTCTCTACTGAGGGCAGGGGATGCAGCATTCAGGTCTGGAGACCCATCATTGCGGGCAGCAAGGAGGGATCTGCAGGGTGGAATTAAAAGGCCAAAGGCCAGCTACACTCTTAAAATACAGGGTCATGGCCCTCAGAATACAGACGTAGACAAAATTGTTGGTACCCTTCTGTTAAACAAAGACAAACTCTGGTCACGGAAATAACGTGAAACTGATAAATATAATAATAATAAATAAAAATTTACTGAAAATTAACTAATGACAATCAGTCATTGCTTTTGGATTGTGGTTCAACAGAAGCATTTAAAAATAACAAACTAACGAAACTGGCCTGGACAAAAATGAAGGTACCCTTAACTTAATATTTTGTTACACAACCTTTTGAGGCAATCACTGCAATCAAGCGATTTCTGTAACTCCCAATGAGACTGCTGCACCTGTCGACAGGTATTTTGGCCCACTCCTCGTGAGCAAACTGCTCTATCTGTCTCAGGTTTGAAGGATGCCTTCTCCAGACTGCATGTTTCAGCTTTTTCCACAGATGTTCAATAGGATTTAGATCAGGGCTCATAGAAGGCCACTTCAGAACAGTCCTATGTTTTCTTCTTAGCCATTCTTGGGTGTTTTTAGCTGTGTGTTTTGGGTCATTATCCTGTTGAAGGACCCATGACCTGCGATTGAGACCAAGCTTTCTGACACTGGGCAGCACATTTCGCTCCAGAATGCCTTGATAGTCTTGAGATTTCATTGTACCCTGCAGAGATTCAAGACACCCTGTGCCAGATACAGCAAAGCAGCCCCAGAACATAACTGAGCCTCCTCCATGTTTCACAGTAGGCACAGTGTTCTTTTCTTTGTTTGCTTCGTGTGTACATCTGTGAACATAGAGCTGATGTGACTTGCCAAACAGTTCCAGTATTGTCTCATCTGTCCAAAGGACATTCTCCCAGAAACTTTGTGGCTGGTCAATATGCATTTTGGCAAATTCCATTCTCGCTTTTTTATGAGTTGCTTTCAACAGTGGAGTCCTCCTCAGTCATCTTCCACGAAGTCCACTGTGGCTCAGACAGCAACGGATGGTGCGATCTGACACTGATGTACCTTGACCTTGGAATTCACCTCTAATCTCTTTGGAAACTCTTCGGTTACCATTCGCATTATCTGTCTCTTCAATTTGTCATCAATTTTCCATTTGCGGCCACGTCCAGGGAGGTTGGCTACAGTGCCGTGGACCTTAAACTTCTGAATAATATGTGCCACTGTAGTCACAGAAACATCGAGCTGCTTGGAGATGGTCTTATAGCCTTTACCTTTAACATGTTTGTCTATAATTTTCTTTGTAATCTCCTGAGACAACTCTCTCCTTAGCTTTCTGTGGTCCATGTTCCGTGTGGTACACACATGATACCAAACAGCACAGTGACTACTTTTCACCCTCTAAATAGACAGGCTGACTGATTACAAGTTTGAAAACGCCTGTGATGCTAATTAGAGGACACACTTTAGTTTAACATGTCTCTATGGTCAAATTATTTTCAATCCTTTCTAGGGGTACCATCATTTTTGTCCAGGCCAGTTTCATTAGTTTCTTTTTTAAAATGCTTCTGTTGAAACACAATTCAAAAGCAATGACTGATTTTCATTAGTTAATTTTCAGTAAATTTTAGTTCAGCATCCATACTATGTTATCCAATTGTATGGATGCTGAATTCGCATCCATACAATAATAATAAAGACCAGCAAAACATGGTATGGATGGGGGGGGAGGCATTCATCCATTTTTTTCCTGTTTTTT